TCCCTTCTTCGTTGGAGTATGTAGAAATGGGTGCTGATGTCGTTGCCAAAGGCATTCGTGCATTAGATCCAAACTCCTCGCCGGGTCCTGATGGGTTGCATCCGCTGTTCCTCAGAACTGTGGCGGATTACATTGCCGCTCCTGTTTGCCGGGTATTGCGACATTCCCTTGAAGTTGGACGGCTCCCGATCGCTTGGAAAGTGGGGATTGTTAAACCCATACACAAAGGAGGGGATCGTCAAAACTCTGCCAATTATCGACCCATCTGTTTAACGTCAATATTGTGCAAGGTAATGGAGAGGATTCTCAAGCGGGCACTTCTTCTCCACCTCGGGAACCTAAACGTCATCTCTTGTGCGCAGCATGGTTTTCGGCGGGCGCGCTCCTGTTCTTCGAATCTGCTGGTGGCCCGTGAAAGATGGGCGAAATCATTAGACGCTGGGAAACGTCTGGAGGTTATTTTTGTCGACATCAGCAAGGCCTTTGATAAGGTTCCTCATGAAAGAATCCTCTATAAGCTGCGATTAATCGGTGTTTCTGGGAACGTTCTCTCTTGGAGCGCCGATTTTTTGAATGACCGGAAATGCGAGCCAACGTGAACGAGACTTACTCCGCTCCTGTGCTCATGACTAGCGGTATCCCTCAGGGATCGGTATCGGGCCCAGAACTTTTCAAGATCTTCATCAACGACCTCCCCTCCGGAACTTCAGTCGGACTGCTTGATTTACGCTGATGACTTGAAATTGTGGATGGAGGTATCCTGTCTTGACGAGGCGGACCGATTACAGGCTACACTTGATACGTTACATGAGTGGTCAGTCAAATGGCGTTTGTCCATAAATCGCGATAAGTGCTCGGTCCTTCCCATTGGTGCTTCTGAACCTTTCGGGACGTATCACATTGGTGGGGCGTTGCTCAGAACCTCATTCTTTGAAAGAGACCTTGGCGTGTTGGTGTCATCTGATCTACGGACTACACAGGACACGTTACGGAGGGCTGCTGCTGCCAACAGGATGTCCCATGCCATACAACGAGCCTTCTCGCGTTTGTCTCCGGAAATCTTCCGACTAGTGTTTACTTCTTATGTCCGCCCCGTTCTCGAATACGGATTACCCGCCGTCTTCCATCTCACCAAGTTCGAATGTGACCTCATTGAGGAGGTCCAACGGCGTGGATCGAAACACATCTTGGAGTTGCGGGACTTGTCTTATCCCCTGAGACTTCAGCGGATGAATCTGTTTACCCTGTATTATCGCCGACGTCGCGGTGACCTGATTTTCACCAGGCCCATCCTGAGAGGAGAGATGGGGACGGAGTTGCAGGCATGCTTTCAATACAATCCAAAAAGTTCAACTCGAGGCCACAATAGGAAACTGTTTAAACCCAGAAGACTCCGGATTCATCCAGCACTCGCTCTGTCAACTCGCGTAGTCAACGATTGGAATAACTTGCCGAAGCATGTGGTCGATGCTAAGGCTGAGGAATGTTTCAAGCGAATGTTAGACCCTTAACTTTTGAGTACGATTGTAGCAAGAACGACGGGGCAACAAAGCACGATCTGTATTGCACGTCACGATCCGTCTCACACGCGCTCACGCCCACACACACATAGTCACATTTCTACACCACAACGCGCCAGAAATGCGATGCTGTCGACGGGCACCTTCGCCCGCCAATTGTCGACATCTCGGCAACTCAGTTTCGCCTGTTTTGCTTCGTGTCTCCGCTCCTGTCCGTCGCTTTCCGACCACCCTGGATTTTTCGAAGGCTCTCGACTTGCCGTATCTTCCAGGCGTCACACGGCTTGGAGTCATTCCTTGGGGCATAACAATCAGCGTCTTTGTCTAAATTCTTGGCTTCTCCTCCAATATCGTTTGAGATCTTCCGGGAGCAGACTTTCTTCCCGTCGTCGCCCGCGGTCCCTTTTCCACTCGTCCGGTAGGGCCTGCGTTATGCTGACTGATGCCGGAGCCTCTGTCAGATACTCTTTCTTGCTCTTGTCGTTTTCTGCTGTTCCGTGTTGTCGAAGTCCTCCGCGCCCCTACACGATGGGCCCTTGCAACTTCCAGTGCAACTGTCAAGATCCCTTGTGGATTACAAGTTCAAGTTCAGTTGGGACCGGAACGATAGGATAATCACGTGAATGTTCCTTCTTTTGCGTATCCTTGGATCGGGAATTGACAGGTCTGCATGAGATGTTGAAAAGCCTAAAACAAAGACCGCATCACACCCTGTCCAACCAATTACTGCCCACATTTTCCTGCCCAGCAGTCCCTGCCGGGCCGGTTTATGCGAAGTAAAAAAGAGAAGGGTAAGCTAAGAAAAGAAGAGGAAGAATGTCAGCTAAATAATGATAATACCAAGGTAAGAAGAAAATTAAAAAAAGCACGAAGGGAAATTTGAAGATACAAGTCGGTTAGGAGAAGGGGAAGGTTTGGTACTGCCACCCTAGAGCATCTAACTGACGCTCGAAACCCTCTACCATAGACTCTCTAACCACGTGCGCCGGAAGCGAGTTCCAACGTTCAATAATTCGACGCGACAAGCGAGTATAACGTACTAACCCGGTCAGAACGCGGTTTGCGCAGCTTCAACGGAGGACCTCGGAGACTAGGCAGATTGGCGGGACCAAATAGCCAGGACAAGTCTGGACCGATCTTCCCCGTTATGATACGGTAAGTGAGGATCAAGTCTCCTCTAGTTCTGCGGTAGTGCATTAAGTACATACCCAAGCTAAGCAAAAGTTCTGGATAAGTTTGCCCCCGTAATCCTTGCACTAACCTTGTACCCACTTGCAAAACCCTCTCCAGTTCCATTTTGTCCCTTACAAGACAAGGTGGACAAGCCTGGATACAGTACTCTACGTGAGGTCGCACGAAAGCTGAGAACAGCTTCACAAAGATATTGGCCGTTAGGACACCGAAGGAGCGGTGAATAAACCACATCATACGGAACCCTTTACAAGCAGCCTTCCTCCAATTTTCCCCAGAGTAAAGCAATGAGGTATGGGTGATACCTAGATCAACCTGCTGAATGACAACAGGGAGTTCACTTCCACCAGTTACATAGCGCGTGGGGGACTAGCACCTCCAATGCGGAGGACATAACATTTCGCCTGATTTATGGGCATCAACCATAAGGTTGACCAATCCTAGAGCCTATCCAAAGCACTCTGAAGTGCCTCAGAGCCACCAGGGATCTCCACAATATACCAGAGCTTGAGGTCATCAGCAAACAATAGCGACGGTACTCCAAGCTTCTGGGGTAGGTCATTGACATAAATTGCAAAAAGCAACGGCCCTAGAACCGGGCCCTGCGGAACGCCACTAAGAACAGCTTGTCTAAGCGAAAGGCCACGCCCCACGCGTACACACTGTTCACTGCCCTCTAGGAAAGCAGCAACACATTTAAGGGCGGCTCCTGATATCCCATACGATCTCAACTTCAATGAGAGTCGCTGATGTGGGACAGTATCAAAGGCTTTCGAGAAGTCAACGAAAAGCACGTCGATGGCGTGACCGTTGTCTACTGCCTCAGCCCAGCTTTCCCGAGCTACAAGCAAATTTGTCAGACATGAATATCCCTTAAGGAATCCGTGCTAAGCCGCACTGAAAAGGTTAAACTTAATCAGGTGATTCTTCACCAAATCCCTGACCAATTTTTCAAACAACTTAACTACTACGCTTTTTAAGCTGACAGGCCGGTAGTTCGCGGGCAGAACTCTGTCCCCGCCCTTAAAAATCGGACAGATGATTGCCTTCTTCCATTCAGAAGGTAAGACACAGCTGTCGAGTGATATTGTAAACATGCATGTCAGAGGGCCACTTAGCTCAGCGGCCAATTCATGCATCAGCTTCGGATGAATTGAGTCAGGGCCCGAAGCTTTGGAAGGATTTAGCCCTTGCAATAGCCAGAAGACTTGTGTCTCCGTTTTGCTAATTTCAGTTAGGTAAGAATCCTCCGGAACTTTAGTGACCAGCTCAACTTGAGGTAGAGAGGCCTCATGAGAAAAGACACCAGTATACTGTTCGCTACGTATACAGGCATTATCATAGTCGGTATGCCCATGGGTCCCGTCCGCTCGTAGTAAAGCCGGTATAGACGAGTTTGTACCGCTACGTCTCTTTACGTAAGCAAAGAACTTCTTTGGGTTTTTTACGGCTGCGTTAGCCAAATCCTCCTCGTACTGAAGACGAAGAGTTCTAAGATGATACTTACATTTATTTCTAACCGCTCGATAGCTTTCGTAGGTGCTGGTTGATGAAGCCGCTTGGTAAGTTCGCCAGCACTTAGAGCGCTTCCTGAGCAGGTATTTACCTGTATGATCTATCCATGGAGGCTGCGCCCGTGTCACCCTTCTCTTAGTGAATGGGATGTGGGGAGCAGAGATCTCGGTGAGGAACGCTTTAAATTTCTCCCAGGATGTCTCAACGGTGTCAGCCAGGGTGACCGCACAATGCAAAACTGAAGCTTTGGCTCGCCTAACATCGATTCGCGGCCTCCACACAATGACCGGGAAGCGATGGAGCTGATAAAGGATTTCTCCTTTTGCTCTCTACAATCCTATGAACCTATGACACGGGTCCTTTCCCCTTTGCCCTCTATAACACTATGAAAATAGGAAACTTCAAGCTGTAGCCAAATTTATATGTCCGGTAAAAGATGTCTTTGCACGAATTAATAAGTAAAAATCCTTTGCCGTTTGAACTGCAGACTCGTGGAACACAGCCTCAGTCGACCGATGAAATATTTTCGTTCGCTACTCTGTTAGTACTGCTAAGGAAAATATCCGTGATTCACTGCTAAATTCAGTCAACTTCCGACAAAGTAAGCTGGAGATTTCCACAGTTTATTGACCCACTTACATAAATAAAATTCGGTGCTATGTGTGACATTTGTGATATGAAACGGAACACCGGTGGAGCAAGTCTATTTTGTCTGCAGTGCTCGAATTGCAATTTCCAGTTTAGTTACTCGCATTGGTAGGTCTGTCAATAAGCATGCTAATCAATGCTTCAGAAGATACTCTCCCTTGCGATGATTTCCTGCAGTTCACGGTATGCTGTCTTTGTAGCCTACCCTCCATTGATGTTCACAGAGTCTGTTAAGTTCATGGCGAAAGAATGACGATCGCGTGCGGCATGAATTGAATAATTTGTTACCCACAGCGTCATTCCAGAGCAAGGTAGACCACGAAGAGAAATGTCGTAGTTTTTTAACGCAGGTATTTCTCAGCTTTGCTCTGATCATTTTTAGATGTTATCCGAACATGAGCGGCGAAATTGTGCGATAAAACGGTGCTTAGCACATTCTACTGCACGCCTGGTTGATCTGCGGGAAGACCAGGCAAATATTGACAGCCCAACAAAGCAGGAATTGTCCCGGCAACTACGTAGGCAACAACTCATAGTATATTCCGTTTGTCCACTTAATTTCTTCTCAGCACCGCCAGTTCCAGGCCGAGTTGCTTGAAGAAGAAGTCATACAGAGATCTGCGACGAAAGTCATTTACGAGCGTTGTGGTGCCTACATCCGGCATCCGGCTTTCGACCGATTCAAGTAATATATACCTTTTTATAGTTTTGTGTATTCAGTCCTCGCTTGCCTGAGTCTTTACGAGGTAATGCTCAATAAAATTTCTTATCCACTTATCGATTTTTATTTGAGTATGTATATACTGCGCTATATAGCGCAGTGAATGCGTCTACTGCCCAGCCACCTTGTGTACGTCTGGTAGGCATGATTTTCTTGTTAGGCCGGAATGCTACTGTTTTGCTTGTTGAAGGAGTGTGGACCGGCTCCGTCGATGTAACGTTGCTCCCATCCCCATGCCTCCGGTCTTATTCCTTCGGGTTTACACCAGCTATGTAAGTCACCCATGGTCCATCTGTCTGCGCAAGCTTCCTAGGGCTGTCCCGTGGAGGCCACAGTGATGCGAATACGGATGCCGCCCATCCATATAGCACAACAATTTACTGGACAAACTATCTATTTTTGTCAGCACGCTGGTAGCCGTCCATAATTCACGTTGTTGCACTGGTAGTAACCAAGTGATTGCGACTCGGGTACTTACGCGGCATAGGAACGTGGCTCCTTGGTTGCTTGTCAGGTCAGGTCAGCATCCAAGAACGACAGGTTTACGCCTAACGATTCTCCCGTTTCTTGCACCGGTTAGAAAAAGCATTTCGACGTTTGATCGCCTCTTCTTGCTTTCAGAAAACAAATCAAGCAAGAACGAGAGCAATTTTTACACTTTTGTGTAACAATATCAGTCATCACTGCATGAGTTCTAGCCCTTAAATTTCAATACAATTGCATAAATTCGGAAAGATGACGTGACCAACACTTATCTAGGCCTTTTTGAACGCTACTACAATCTCGCAACCTACTAACTCAGGTGTTTTGTTTTAGCTGCGTACCTCGGTTCGTGAAAAACTTCGCCCTGATATTCATTCTAGCCCTCTTGCTTGAGCTTCAAACGATGTCCGCGCAATTGATCGGAAGTAGCCAGTTCAAGCAGAGAAGTATGCTTGATAGCACTGAAGCCCTTCATCATCCGAAACGTTTATCAGACCACATCTGTGTACGCCGCTCCAGGGGAAACAACCACATGCTCTAGGCGACGCTCATACGATTTCCCATGCTTACCTTCAATCATTCTGGTTGCTATTATTTGAATCCTTTCCATGCAAATAACCACTACGGACATAGGGTGACCAATCCTTTACACAATACTCCTCATGAGGCCTAACCGCAACTTTGTACGATTGCAGGAATACTTCTGCCTTAGTGTTACCCAGTTTCCTCTTGGGGCGAAGTAATTCTTGTCACTCTGTTGACCGCATATTGACATTACACTGAAGGGTTGAATTGGATCATCACGATTATGCTTTGCTAACGTGCTTGACTAGTGCACTGCAAAGAGGGAAACCGCAATTCTTCTCCACTAGTTGTCAATACTTGACATTTGTTGGCATTCAGAGGCATCTCCATTGCTTCGACCAGTTAACCACACTGATGGTATCTTGCATCAGCTTTGCTCGGTTGCCCCTGCTGACCAGCTTTAGGTCAGCTGCGAGGATATAGCAAGTGTCTCCAAGAATGGGGTACAATAGTTTATAAACATAAGAAACAATAGTGGACCTAGAATCTTCCCTTGATAGGTTGCTCAGTTTGTAGATTTTTTCGCTGCACTATAGGCGCTTTCGGGGAGACCTAATTCTTACGTACCGTATATTGACCGGTAATATTTGGCTTGATCTAACTAGACTTTTCCATCGGCCTCAGATGCCATCTCTTCGTGGTCACCCTCTGAAGCTGCATAAGTCCAGGTCCGATCGCGTTAGAGCTGATTCTCTTTTATCATGCAGTGTCGTCGGCTCATGGGACGCACTACCCAGCGAAGTCGTATTAGCGCCAACGGTGAAGGAGTTTGAACATCGACTCGGCGCCCTTGGGTTGCAGTTTCAGACCTTTCCGTTTGGTTCTTAACTTCACATTTATTTCCTTGACTTCTCATTCCTTCTTACTACTGTTGCCTTATCTACACGTTCTTTTACTGCAATTATAATTGTTCTGTTTTTGTTGGTTCCTTTCTCTTAACCTTTTTTCTTATTCACGTGGCCGGTACAGCGGGCACTGCTAATGCAGGCCGCATGGACACTGATTAGTTGACCGTGATGTGATTCGTGTGTATTGATTTGGCTGTCGGTCACAAATCGTTCCCGCGAACTCTATCCTGGTTCAACGACGTATTAAAGATGGAACATCTATAGCAATTCCCTACCGTTCCTGTCCAAATTGAACTTGACACCACTTTAGGCCACACCCATATGAGAACTCACATCACCACTTTTCCTACCTAAGTATTTCAACCCCAAGACAGAAGTTTAAAATGCAATCCAAACCATGTCAATTTCTAAAGTAAGGAAGGGTAATTTACCGAGTCGAAAGATTTACTGAAGTCGAGGTAGCACACTTCTACCAGAATTCCGTCATCACGACACCGAGTAATCTCATCTAAAAAGTTCAGTAAGTTAGTGAGGCACGACTTCGTCCTAATAAAACTATGCTGTTATGCTCCACCAACTCTCACAAATCCGGTTATACGATTTTCTATGAGCTTGTGCATCATGAAATTTCATTTTTTCTGTCCCATACTTATCATTTCTTTGATAAACGGCTCCTTGTTGACAAAAGGGATACCCATCTGCCAAACGTTTTGGTCTCTTTTGACCTAGCTTTTCTGTGAAAATATACTGATGCTACTCAGTTCGTGATGACCGGCATTCGAACACAGCTTAATATTACTGGGCAACCTATTCCATAGGACAGTGCGTAAACGTGGTCCTTCGTTTAACCAGGGATTAACATTTGACAAAATTCTTGGTAACATTTTCAGCTCTGACTCTTTGCGGTCGCATGCTGCTGCATGCAGACTGAGGTGCCGCAAGGGGCACCCGGATCTGCACAGAATTGGCAAGTTGAACTCGGGGTACAGAAGCTGCAACGAAGGAGCTGACACGGGTCTTTTCTCTTCTGCTCTCTGTGAAAACACACTCGCTCTTGCGATGTTCTATGCTCCTGCTACTGCACCAGCTTTTACAATAATACGCCACCCAATTACCTGTTTTCTCTTTGTATTATTCACCGAATTCATTATCTGATTCCTCGGTGGTGAACAATTTCTCTCCACTGCTGGATTCGTCCCATCAACATCCGCCAACCCAGCCACACAGTGCTTCACAGGGAACCACCATCCACATAGTCTTTAGTCATCGCTTCTGCAACCTGGAACTCCCTTTAAGCTAGCAACACTAAATGTGCGCACTCTACTGCAGATCGGACAACAAGCGAGACTGGCGCATACCTTAGAAATCCTTGCAATTGATGTCTGCTTTCTGTCTGAGACGACCTCAGGATCCCAACCGTCTTCCAGCTATGGTCACCAATTCATCCCCACACCCGTTTTCATCTCCGATTTTCTGGTGACGCTGAGTCTGCTGCTTCTGGGCAAGCTGGTGTTGGGATTGCGCTCACTTCTATACCTGAGGCCACCCTCCTTGTTCGGATTCCAATTAGCAGTCGTCTCTGTGCTATTAGGCTCCGTTGTTCCTGCAACGTTAGCAGACATCGAGCCGATAAGTGTGCATTTTGTGATCTACTATGCCCCCACTAATTGCAGCTCGCGTGTAGTCAAAGACCAGTTCTATCAAAGTCGTCATGATCTACTCCTAAGGGCATCTTGAACGGATATCCTTATTATATTCGGCTGCTTCCATCTGAACGCCACCTCGAGGGACCACATGGATATGATGTTCGCTCTGACAATGGAGACAGGTTGCTCAGTCTGTGTGGTGATCACCAACATTTTCTCTACACTACGAGCTTTCGTCACCCCAAGGTGACATCATGCCACCTGACGTCCTCCATAATCAACCCAGCATTGGTCACGAATTGACCACATAGCCATAAGACGAAGGTGGCGTGAAAGCATACGCGATTGTCGATCATACTGGTCTACTTTTGTGGAAATCGATCATGTATTGGTGTGCATGACAGTTTGCATGCAATTCGGTGGACCAGACAAATCCGACTGAACATCTGCAAATTGAAAAATCCCACAGTTCAAATAGTAAAACAGAAGCTTCGTGAAAGTCTTGCCCCCTCCCCTTCTCTGGATGCTGGCCAGCACTGATTAGGTTTACAAAACGCCATGCTGTCCGCAGGTTTGCTCAGCTGCGGTTTCGTCCGCCGCACAGCTAGAAGCTGGATCTCGGAAACTTCCACGGCACTTCTAGATCGTCGATGCGCCGTGCCCACTGGTACGGAACACAACAAAACACGTCCGTCTATTTCTCTACACATGAAAGCTAGCCTTCGTCCTGATCCTGAATACCGGTGCTCTCGGCGTGCTTCTGAGATGAAGGTCGCTGCATGGGTTTGCAACTACCGCAGTTTGTTTTGCCTCATCAAGGCCACTGGTTGCAATTCACACGCCATCAGTCAGACAATCTGTGATTTAGTCGGCACAAAAATCACCAATCTGCAGAAGTGATTGGAGCGCTGGGCAGAGCACTGCTCTTCAGTTTAACTACCCAGCACATTCCTCTGTGACATCTCCATCGGATATTGCTTGGCCTGTCCCCAGTGATCTTCCTACCGAAGTAGAGATCAGAAGCGCAATCCGATCTTTGAAATGGCATAAAGCTCCCGACCCTAAAAGCCTTCCCAGCTCTTTTCAACGATGGTGGGGATGTACATGTCAACAAATTGCTTTCGCTTTTCGCAAAAGTTTGGACTGATGAGAATGTCACCAACTCACGGGGAGGACTAGGTCGTTGTCCGGCTTCAAAGGAAAGGCCCTGAGAGGATTGTGCCAACTACCGCGGAATCTCGCCGATCTCTGTTGTTTCCAGGCTTTCTGTGTCCAACAACGAGCCAGATCAAGCAACGCTCTCGTCCACCTTTCT